GCTACAAAGCAGATAAGCAGACCAGCTAAAGATGCTCAATATAGTGGTGCGCCACCTGGATCACCCGGAGTTTACGCTACAAACCAGGTAAGCAGACCAGCTAAGGATTCTCAATATATTGGTGCTCCACCTGGGTCACCCGGGGTGTACGCTACAAACCAGATAAGCAGACCAGGTAAAGATTCTCAATATAGTGGTGCGCCACCTGGATCACCCGGAGTTTACGCTAAAGATTCTCAATATAGTGGTGGGCCACCTGGATCACCCGGGGTGTACGCTACAAACCAGATAAGCGGACCATCTAAGGATTCTCAATATAGTGGTGCGCCACCTGGATCACCCGGGGTGTACGCTACAAACCAGATAAGCAGACCAGCTAAAGATTCTCAATTTAGTGGTGGGCCACCAGGGCCACCAGGGGTGTACGCTACAAACCAAATAAGCAGACCAGCTAAAGATTCTCAATATAGTGCTGCGCCACCTGGATCACCCGGGGTGTACGCTACAAACCAGATAAGCAGACCAGCTAAAGATTCTCGATATAGTGGTGCGCCACCTGGATCTCCAGGAGTTTACGCTACAAACCAGGTAAGCAGACCAGCTAAGGATTCTCAATATATTGGTGCGCCACCTGGATCACCCGGGGTGTACGCTACAAAGCAGATAAGCAGACCAGCTAAAGATGCTCAATATAGTGGTGCGCCACCTGGATCACCCGGAGTTTACGCTACAAACCAGGTAAGCAGACCAGCTAAGGATTCTCAATATATTGGTGCTCCACCTGGGTCACCCGGGGTGTACGCTACAAACCAGATAAGCAGACCAGGTAAAGATTCTCAATATAGTGGTGCGCCACCTGGATCACCCGGAGTTTACGCTACAAACCAGGTAAGCAGACCAGCTAAGGATTCTCAATATATTGGTGCTCCACCTGGGTCACCCGGGGTGTACGCTACAAACCAGATAAGCAGACCAGCTAAAGATTCTCAATATAGTGGTGCGCCACCTGGATCACCCGGGGTGTACGCTACAAACCAGATAAGCGGACCATCTAAGGATTCTCAATATAGTGGTGCGCCACCTGGATCACCCGGGGTGTACGCTACAAAGCAGATAAGCAGACCAGCTAAAGATGCTCAATATAGTGGTGCGCCACCTGGATCACCCGGAGTTTACGCTACAAACCAGGTAAGCAGACCAGCTAAGGATTCTCAATATATTGGTGCTCCACCTGGGTCACCCGGGGTGTACGCTACAAACCAGATAAGCAGACCAGGTAAAGATGCTCAATATAGTGGTGCGCCACCTGGATCACCCGGAGTTTACGCTAAAGATTCTCAATATAGTGGTGGGCCACCTGGATCACCCGGGGTGTACGCTACAAACCAGAGAAGCGGACCATCTAAGGATTCTCAATATAGTGGTGCGCCACCTGGATCACCCGGGGTGTACGCTACAAACCAGATAAGCAGACCAGCTAAAGATTCTCAATTTAGTGGTGGGCCACCAGGGCCACCAGGGGTGTACGCTACAAACCAAATAAGCAGACCAGCTAAAGATTCTCAATATAGTGCTGCGCCACCTGGATCACCCGGGGTGTACGCTACAAACCAGATAAGCAGACCAGCTAAAGATTCTCGATATAGTGGTGCGCCACCTGGATCTCCCGGAGTTTACGCTACAAACCAGGTAAGCAGACCAGCTAAGGATTCTCAATATATTGGTGCGCCACCTGGATCACCCGGGGTGTACGCTACAAAGCAGATAAGCAGACCAGCTAAAGATGCTCAATATAGTGGTGCGCCACCTGGATCACCCGGAGTTTACGCTACAAACCAGGTAAGCAGACCAGCTAAGGATTCTCAATATATTGGTGCGCCACCTGGATCACCCGGGGTGTACGCTACAAAGCAGATAAGCAGACCAGCTAAAGATGCTCAATATAGTGGTGCGCCACCTGGATCACCCGGAGTTTACGCTACAAACCAGATAAGCAGACCAGCTAAGGATTCTCAATATATTGGTGCTCCACCTGGGTCACCCGGGGTGTACGCTACAAACCAGATAAGCAGACCAGGTAAAGATTCTCAATATAGTGGTGCGCCACCTGGATCACCCGGAGTTTACGCTACAAACCAGGTAAGCAGACCAGCTAAGGATTCTCAATATATTGGTGCTCCACCTGGGTCACCCGGGGTGTACGCTACAAACCAGATAAGCAGACCAGCTAAAGATTCTCAATATAGTGGTGCGCCACCTGGATCACCCGGGGTGTACGCTACAAACCAGATAAGCGGACCATCTAAGGATTCTCAATATAGTGGTGCGCCACCTGGATCACCCGGGGTGTACGCTACAAACCAGATAATCAGACCAGCTAAAGATTCTCAATATAGTGGTGGGCCACCAGGGCAACCAGGGGTGTACGCTACAAACCAAATAAGCAGACCATCGAAGGCTTGTAAATACGACGGATTAGATAGTGTTGGGCCACCTGGGGGGCATGCTAGTCACCAGATAAGTAGACCAGTGGAGATTTCTCAGTACGACGGAGTAGATAGTGTTGGACCACCTGTTGGACCATCTGGAGAACACACTAGAAACCGGACAAGCAGATACGCTGTACACAAAAACATTGCGCTTGTATATATTAGTCATTTATGTCATTGAGCGAAATACCTTCAAAGCCGTAAACCGAATTATTTATCGGAACAATGAAATTCTAAATGATATATACTGTACACTAATAAATAAGATGAAACGCAGTCTGAATTGAGAACAGATATGAGTACGTTTTTGATGCCCTTTCTATTCCTAAAGGGGGCGAGGGAGAAGACACGATGGTTTACAGTTGGGAACGAGAGGGCAGACACGATGGTTTACCGTGGGGAAGGTAAACCACCGCCCTCTCATTACACTATCTTGATCTTCCCGATGGTAAACCTCTCATTACACTGTCTTGATCTTCCCGATGGTAAACCTCTCATTACACTGTCTTGATCTTCCCGATAGTAAACCACCGCCCTCTCATTACACTATCTTGATCTTCTGTCAACCAATTTGTTTTCCCCACTGTTCACGATCCATCATTTTAACGTTTCTTCCGATTCACAGTTATAACCTTTCCTCCTATTCGCCATTTTAACCCCGTATTGTAAATAATAAATGAATAGAAATGGGGTTTAACTAGCTACAATATCATTGCCGGACTGGTGCGCCGAAGGCCCACCTGTCAGGTTATTGGCCAAGGCCCACACGAGTACGCGCCGAAGGCGCGCGAGCGTCCGAGGGGGGTTGGGGGGGGGGGGGTGTCTCCCCCCATGAAAATTTTGAAAATTTTCCAAGCATTTCAGACCAAAGCAGAAGAAGGCAAATTTTTGATTTCCTGATACAATTAGATAACAGAATGACATGAGAGCACTAGCATTAGATGAATTTGAGAATTCTCTTTAGTGTCAAAAGTGGTTAAAAGATGAATTACACGGTTCTCTGTATAATGAGGTCAAACTCATAAAGTTCTTTCCTTGTAGTACACTTCTTTTTTTGTGTTGTTTGTCAGTCATTTTTTTCCTATCTTTTCTTTCTCCTGTCCTGTGTCCTGTCCTGTACTGTCCTCTCCTTCCTTCTTTCTTTTTTTTCCTCCCCCTCTCCTTTCTTTCTCTTTTCTTTTTTTCTTTTTTCTTTTTTCTTTCTCTTTTTTTCTTTTTTCTTTTTTCTTCTTCTTAGGCCCATGAACAGGTGGACAGGTGGGCCCAGCCCGGCACTGTAAAATATTGTACCCGCGTTCTGTCTTATCCGATACACTATTCGAGGCTTTGCGCGAGTAAAATTAGGTTCAATAGCAAATTACATATCATCGCGGTTTGCATGGAAATAAGTAATTATGTTACAGTGAAGAGTGGAACACTGAAATCTTAATTTTATCTTACCGAACAATTTTTATATATTTTCGAGTGACATGAAATCACGTGATTCGGGTTCCGCTGGTTCGGCGTCCATTTTAGAATGAACAGAAATTTCGCATAGCGGTTGGGGTTAATCAAATCATGCAATTTCAATGGGAATTGGTTTATTTTATGTTAAGCTATGTATAGTACAGTTTGGGGTCAATGTAATTGGAAATTAAGGAAGTTATAGGCCAGTAACTTTTTTTGGAGTCAAATGACTACAAAACTTCCTCAAAGGCAGGCCTTAGGGCGGTCCACTACTGTGGCTGGAGCAAGACGGAAGACATCAGTAGTGGAACCATTTCTAGGGTTTAAAGGACAATATTGGTGCCAGTCATTATCACATATGTGATAGAACTGTTTAAACACATTCCAAATATAATTTTAACACAGAGATCATTGCTACGATAGATGAGTAATACAAGTGTCATGAATCGGAAATGACGAACGCCAAAGGAAAACACGAGTTATCCTCCTGTATAACTGACTGAAGTTACGGCCGAATTTCTGCTCACTAATAATTCATTCCAAGACCAAAAGTTGTTGTGTGAGACTGTGAGAGGATATCTGACAATCCATAAAAAGAATTGACTGCCACTAGATATAAGAACACGAAAGAAAAACAGAAAAAGTCCGTGCATTACCATGTTTTTATAAGGTATAGAATGAATAAAAACAAGGAAATGTACGGACTATTTCTATTTTTCTCGTGTTCTCTTATCTAATGACATTCAAGAATGAGATTGTGCATACACAGGGGCGTTTCCACCCACTTTCATTGAATTCCAACTGCCAAGGGTTCCTTCACACGCACGCTAACGCGAACACGGGCCTCGGTTTTTTGTCCCATCCAAACGACTAGACGTTTTTCCATTGAATTCCAACTGCCAAGGGTTCCTTCACACGCACGCTAACGTGAACACAGGCCTCGGTTTTTTGTCCCACCCAAACTACTAGACGTTTTTCCATGCTAAACCCCCGCCCGTTAGGAAAAGTTTGGTGGTCTGCATCCATGCACTTATAAAATTGGATTTGTCTCCCTTACAACACAATTCATGGCATTGACAACGAGTTCGTGAACTCTTCTAACGGATATTATGAAAGAGGGCCAGGTGATTACAGTTGAGGTGATGTCAGTTAGTATTTATAAGTTTGAGAAAGTTCAAGTAATAACGGTTATGTTGATGTAGTTCAGACAGAACTGAAGTTTTATAACACAGGCCATTGTAAGTTGTTCATTTTTTCACTGTATAAAATTCAATGCTTGTGTTGTGGTGCAACACCGAAATCAACCCTGATATATTACTCACGTGATTAAACAGCAGATTGGGAAATGAAATGGGTCGCTACGCATATAATAATGTAATGTGAATGTATATAAACTGATTTACATTAAAATCGTTTCTGTTTTACGGTAATTTCTAACCAGTTATGTTCGTCGAAATATGCCATGGCGAAGTCTACTCAGTCGAATGGCAATCTCCCGTTGAATGAAAGCCAGAATTGGTCGCTTCAACGTAACCCTTCAGATTCAGACTCTAGCGTCTGGTTATGCCAGTCTACACCGATAGTATTTATTGCGAATGCTGTAAAGATAAGAATATTGCGTCAACGTTTGACATGACTCGAGTCATGCCATACAAGATTTGTTTACCAATGGTAAAATGTTTATTTTGTCTTAAATATTGGATGATCAGTATGCCCATCTTTTCCCGGTAAATAAAAATCACAACATCAATGTTGATTGTTGATTTAAATTGACATATAATTGGTGTTGTCAATGTCGAAGACTTTGGTTGGATGATACTGAGTTAAGAGACTTAGCTACTTTAGATTTAACATCAGGGGGGTTGGATGGCCCAATAGTTAGCACTTGGGCGCTGTATCATAAGGCCTGTCATTGAGTCAACTGGTGTGGTTTCGAATCCCTGGTTGTACGTGACAAGAAGTAGGGTTGCCTGTCCAACCTCGTGGGTTTTCTTCGGGTCCTCCGGTTTCCTCCCACTGCTAAAGACCCCTACGCACAGGTTGATTATGGAAATAAAAAATTAAACCATGTGTTACTCCCTGAATGACCTAGTTTGTGTCGAGTGGACGTTAAACCCCATTTCTCTCTCTCTCTCTTAAAAATTCTATTCTGCTTGGACTGGGCTAATGAAGACAGTTATACCGATATTAATATAAGTGTGGTATGATTTTGCCGGGACAGCAGCGCTCTATTCTTATATCGAATTCCAACAGCCAATGCTTGTGTAGGCCTACACGAACGACTATGCTTTGTTGCTTGCCAGATCGTCTGTTCTGCTCCCACCCATGCCCAAAAATCCTTGGGAAGTTTCTCGGCCAACAGTGCATGGGAGAGAATCCAAGACTTCCCTGATAGCAAGCCAGTGAGTCACCGCTGCTCCCTACTATAAATAAACAATGACACAAACAGTTATCAAGGCGTGCATAATATATGTATCGTTAATTAATGGTCGAGAGCAAGACAATAAAAGAACTAAGTCGCCCATTGTTGCGATCTAGAAATTGACACAAATGGGCCACAACGCATATAATAATGTAATATGAATGTATATAAACTGATTTACATTCAATCGTTTCTGTTTTTACTGTAATTTCTAATCAGTTATATTCAGCGAAATCCGCAAGAAGTATTGATCAAATGGCAATCTCTAGCGTCTTGTTATTCCATTCTTCACCGATAGTATTTATTGCGCATGCTCTCCAGATAAGAATATGACGTCACCATTTGACATGACTTGTGGAATATGCCTAGCCTCGTTTTTCGAGTCCCTTGTTACAAATGACGCTGAAAAGCATTGTGGTACATGATTCGTCTACCAATGGTAAAATGTTTATTTTATCTTGAATATTGGATATCAGAAGCCCATATTTTCCCGGTAAGATCACAACATTAATGTTGATTTAAATCGACAAATAATTTGTGTTTTCAATGTTGAAGAATTTGGATGATATTGAGTTAGAGACTTGGCTACTTTAAGTAATATATTGTAACAACAAGAGGGCCGTAGGTCCGAGTGTTTTTAGAATTATGCAATGTCTTAAGCTCGAAACCATTAAATAACTTAAAATACAGACACTCCGCAAGTGCTTTTACAGTGAAATACGTCACGCGAGTCCAATATTTCACTAGTATAAATAATGTACGATTGGCAAGTTGCTTATACGATTAGTTGAAATAATGGTACGCCAACATCAAAGGATGACATCACATCTGTATTTTAAGACTGATTAATTTTCTGGGGATACCAGTGGTTTAACGTCCACTCTACACAAACTAGGTCATTTTGGAACTTACACATGGTTAAATTTTATTTTCATAATTTGCTTGCGCGTAGGCATCTTTAGCAGTGGCAGGAAACCGGAGGACACGGAGAAAACCCACGAGGATGGACAGGTGACCCTATACTCCTTGTCACGTACAACCAGAGAATTGACGCCACGCCTGTTGACTCAATGATAGACTTTATGATACAACACGCACATGAGAGCCAATCAGCCATCCCCCCCCCCCGAGTAGTAAACAAAAAGAATTACTATTACTCTTTCAAACTGGATGATTTGATTGAACCCAGTTTCAGACAACTGTTCATACACTTCTCTTCCCATTCATCTCTTATAACCTGTCTTCATATGTATACGGGGTGGGGGGGGGATCACGTGGCTAAGTGGGTAAGACCCTGGCTCGCTAGCCTGGAGGTCGGGTGTTCGATCCCTGCATTGGCCGAGAAAGTTTTTCAGATTTTACGGCGTGGTTTCCCCTTGTCAGTCATGCAGGATGAAGGGCCTGACAAGGACAGCTGTTTAGTCAATCGGATGGGACGAAAAATCAAGGTCCCGTGTACACATTGGCGTGCACGTAAAAGATCCCTTGGCAGTTGGAATTCGATATAAGAGTAGGCCATAGCGTCGCTGCCCAGGCAAAATTTACCCCATAGCACACTGTATGGTGTATGCCTGTCTTCATTAGCCCAGGTTAGGAGCAGAAAAGTAGGATGTTAAACCCCATTTCATTTCACTTCATTTCATAAGTATAGTAAAAGATCCCTTGACAGTTGGAATTCTATACAAGAGTAGATTGTACTGCCGCCGTTCGGGCAAGATTTCTCTCATAGCACACTGACATATGCCCGTCATCTTCATTAGCCCAGTAGGTGCAGAAAAGTGGGGGGGATCACGCGGCTAAGTGGGTAAGGCGCTGGCTCGCTAGCCTGGAGGTCGGGTGTTCGATCCCTGCATTGGCCGAGAAAGTTCATCCAGATTTTCCGGCGTGGTTTCCCCTTGACAGTGATGCAGGACGGAGGGCCTGACAAGGACAGCTATCTAGTCGTTGAGATGGGATGAAAAACCGAGGTCCCGTGTACATATTGGCGTGCACGTAAAAGATCCCTTGGCAGTTGAAATTTGATATAAGAGTAGGCCGTAGCGCCGCTGCCCGGGCAAAATTTCCCCCATAGCACACTGTATGGCGTATGCCCGTCTTCATTAGCCCAGTTTAGGAGCAGAACAGTAGGACGTTAAACCCATTTAATTTCATTTTAATTTCATTTTGCAGAAAAGTGGGACGTTTAATGCCGTTACATTTCATTTCAGTTCTGTTATAAGAAATGGGTCTCTAATTTTCTTGTAACTGAAGCCTGTTCTTGTGTTAATTTGGCCTAAAAACATATTCAAACCAATTAATTTATCATAAATTTGCTTCAAATCCTTCTCAAAACATTTTAATTGTCAAGGAATACTCTTGCTATAAAAAATCGATCAAAAGAGGTCATGTTTATGTCAAGTGACTTACGGGTGCGAAGTTTGAGGAAAATTCATTGCATACACAAGACGATGTTGTCTTTAATCGCTGACTATTAATTACAAATATCGAAACCTAATTAAATTCTAGGATTATCCACTGCCCGCGTCTTTTTCCGTGATTTTTATCTCAGAAAGTGTTGTACGTCTAACTCTTCATAAAGTTTATCAACATGTACATCAAGCGCTCAATCTCTGTGTGCAACCTTTGACGTCATGCGTGCAGAAATTCCTAATCGTCTGGCTGGCGATTAGGGGAACCCTGACATTTTTGTCCTGTATACGCTCCATGGTTTTTTTCAGGGAATCCAGTATTTTTCTAGTAAGATTGGATATCTCTACTTACCATATATAACAAAATTGCTATACTTTTATTGGAAATAACCACCCGATAAATACTTTTCTGGGGACGTATCTTTAAAGATAACGATGTGTTTTATTATTTCCAGAAATTAAATAATGTCCCGAAGCCTGATCAGTAAAATGAGGAGAATATTTGCAATATCGGATATCCATGTTGATTTTAAAGAAAATCGCGAATATGTGAATAGTTGGTCACATGACAGATATGGAGAAGATGTTTTAATTCTAGCTGGTGATGTCACAGATCTTACGAGCTTACTGAAAGAAACCCTTCAACATTTGAGTAAAACATTTTACAAAGTCTTTTATGTCAGTGGTAGGTTATCTGTTATTTAAAGGGACAATAACACTCTTGCTGGCTTGAAAGCTCCAGAAAATAAATAATATCTCTATCTAAGTACTAGATGTTTAAGTGTCCTACCTGTTGTGTGAATTATCCATTACATCCTATTTTACTTGTCCAGAGGTTTCGAAAATATTTTTAAATCCAAGTCACATTTGAAAAGGTTTACGTTAGGCTTTTCAAATCATTTAGTTGAATTTTTCCAATTTTTTAAATTAGGAGTGTTAAGATGAAATTTGTATCATCAATTAATTGGAATATTGTAAAATAGTACAATTTGTTGACTAAAATAAAGATTGGGACATATTATTCAGTTACAACAAGAGTGGTATTGAGCCTTTAATCACTGTTTATAAGAAATATCTTTGATTCAGAAACACAAAAATCTGCACATTATTTCATATTGATGTATTTGATTATGGTCTTGTCATGTTAATAAAAGTTTACAGTTTACATAACATTTCAGGCCTAAAGAAAGGGAGAGAGGTTTAACATCCATTCAACACAAACTTGGTCATTTCGGGACTAACACATGGTTCAATTTTATTTCAATAATTTGCTTGCGCGTAGGGGTGTTTAGCTGTGGGAGGAAACCGGATGACCCAGAGAAAACCCACGGCGAACCAGTAGTTGAAGAAGGGTGGACACAAATTATCAAACAATGTATATGAAGAGTCTAGGGGAAGAACGATCTAAGTCACATTTTTTTCGTTTCGCATAAAAGGCAAAACAGACTTAGGGAGGAGAATGCTTGCCGCGAACAGAACAACGAGTGGGTTTAATTACAACTTCAAAATGATGTTTAATACGAATCATAATTACCAGTACAACAACTGACTTCCACGTTTCAGCAAAATGAAGGTGAAATAAATATGATGGACTCTTATTTGTCCGGTAGGCCATTTCAGAAGGGCCTTGGTTCGATGTGACTCCGATTGTTTTTACCAGAAATTGATTGTTCCACAGAAAGCTTATCCAATTTGCTACCAGATGGCGCCATTAACTGGGGTTCGTTGACAAATTGACTTTGATCGTTCTTCATATATAATCAAGGCTAGACAAAATATATACGGTGTGCCATAATTTGTGTCTGCTAAAGTCTGTGACAGGCGCCTTATGTTCAGGTTTGTATTTGAGGGATGATGGTAGGTCGAAAATAGGTTTTACTTATTCTAACCAAATACATCTTTTTAATTTTCGTTCTAGGCAACCATGAATTATGGATACGAAGACCAGAAGAAGTTGCCGATTCTATTGTCAAATTTCATGAAATTATCTCCCTTTGTGATTCTATTGGCATCTGCACAAGACCAGAAAAGATACAAGTGACAGACAGTGATTCTGTGTGGGTGTGTCCTCTCTTTTCTTGGTACTCAACACCCGATGACGATTCGGACAATTCTCTATATATCACAGCTACAAATCCTGAATCCGATAAAAATGCTAGAGATATGTGGATGGACAATCATTTGTGTATTTGGTCAAAACTTCCGTCAACCCGATCAGAATATTTTGAGAAATATAATTCAAAACAAATACCTCCCACAATGGATTCTCCTGTGATATCTTTCAGCCATTTTGTCCCTCGGCAGGATCTCATTCTACCAAATGAGAAAGAGAAAGAAAAGCTTAATGCAGAGTGCGAGAGATTAGGACTGGCGGTAAAAAAGAATGAAAACTCAAAAGTTAACTTTAATTTTTCTATGTATGCGGGGTGCAAACGAATCGAAAAACAAATAAGGGAGATTAATCCAGTTATACATGTGTATGGCCATCAGCATCGACAGAGAGATAGAAATATCGATGGAGTTAATTATATATCACATTGTTTGGGATATAAAAAAGAGAGAGATGCAGGTTTTATGTGGGGAATAGATGAATGGAATGGTCCAAAATTAATATGGCCGCCATCATCAGCTTAAAAAAAAAACCAGAGAGAGAGAATTGGGGTTTAACATCCACTCAACTCAAACTAAGTCATGTCAGGGCTAACACATGGCTCAATTTTATTTCAATAATTGGCTTGCGTGTTGGGGTCTTTAGCAGTAGGAGGAAACTGGAGGACCCGGAGAAATCCCACAATTTTAGACAGGCACCCCTACTCCTTGTCACGTATAACCAGGGAAATGTAACCACACCAGTCGACTCGATGACAGCGTGGACATGCTAACTTTTTGGCCATCGAACCCCCCTAGAAAAAAAAATGAGAAATGAAGAGAAATTTGCTTTATTTCTATATATATATATATATATTTATATTTATATATGTTATAATAATTCATAAAGTGACGATCAATTTCAATAAAATATTTAAAATCGAGTTCCAGCCTCCTTAACAAACACATTTCATTAATAACTACAGTTTAATAATAATATCTTACAGATGCATTATGTAAGATTTATATAGACAGCTGACCATTCTTCCTATAACAGTTCAAAAATAGTTAACAAACAATAAATATATTTAAAATTTCATTTATATTACTTTATTCTGAGCGAAGTTGTTTCCGTATGGAGAACAGTATAGCCTTGATTGTCATTGCTGCCATTGTTACGATAATAGATAGCGAGGGAGAGAGAAATGGGGTTTAATGTCCACTCCACACAAACTAGGTCATTTTGGGACTAACATATGGTTCAATTTTATTTCAATAATTTGCTGGCGCATAGGTATCTTTAGCAGTGGGAGGAAATGGAGGACCCAGAGAAAACTCACGAGGTTGGACAAATAACCCTACTCCTTGTCACGTCCAATTGGGGAACTGAAACCATGTCAGTTGACTCAATGTCAGACCTTATGATGCAACATGCACACCATTCGGCCATATGATAATCAACGAAGATTAGATAAACAGCTGGTCACTCTTGCTATAATGACAACTTAAAGGAGCTAAATCGCTAATATTTTGGACCTAGAAATTGGCACAAATGGGTCGCAACACATATAATAATGTAATATGAATTTATATAAACTGTTTTACATTCAGTTGTGTCCGTTTTACTGTGAATTGTCATCAGTTATGTTCGGCGAAATACGCCAGAAGTCTAAACCGCAAGTCAGTTTCTAGCGTCTGGTTATTCCAGTCAACGCCGATATTATTTACTGCGCATGCTTTCCAAATAAGAATATGATATCACCGTTTGACATGACTTGTGGAATATGTCTAGCCTCATTCTTTGAGCACCTTGTTACAAATGGCGCTGAAACGCATTATGATACACGATTCGTGTACCAATGGTAAAATGTTTATTTTGTGTTAAATATTGGATATCAGAAGCCCATCTTTTCCAGGTAAGATCACAACACCAATGCTGATTTAAATTACAAAAAAAATCGTGTTTTCAATGTTGAAGATTTTGGATGATATTAAGTTACGGACTTAGCTACTTTAATATATTTAAAATTTCATTCATGTTACTTTATTCTGAGTCAAGTTATCACGATTTGAAGTTTTGACAAGATGTGGCATGGATTGTTTATTATCGTAACAATGGAACTTCTTAATCGAGACGTAGCCTCAAAACGTCATTTTTAAATTAAATCATTAAATGGCAATTTCTTTAAATCTCTGATGGTCTAGAGAGTTGATAATAGGCTTGTCATGAGAATAAATGTTTAAAATATAGTTTAGGCCTATATAAGATTTAAAGCCAAAAAAAAAGACCTGCAATAGACAGATTTAGATCTTTCATAATGCATCGTAAATATTTCTCTTTGGCACCAACTGAGAACTAGATAAATAAGTAACATTATAAAACATCCTAAAATTTAAAACGTCATTTCAACAACTTTATTATCAAAGAACTGTAATTCAACACTCTAATTTAAGCTGAAGACTTTCTTTTTAATATCAAAGGACTGCTGTATTCATTGCTCTAATTGTAGCTGCCGTCTTCATTAGCCCAGTCGGAGCAGAACAGTAGGACGTTAAACCCCATTTCATTTCATTTTGTAGCTGAAGACCTCTGTATTTTAGTATAATATGACTTTTGGTTTGAACAGAAATATCACAGACTAAATTAAAGCAGCAAGGTTCAAAATCATTTTGTGAAAGAGAGAGAGAAATGGGGTTTGCATGTAGGGGTCTTTGACTGAGGGAGGAAACTTGAGGAACCGGACAAAACCCACGAGTTTGGACAGACGAGTCATCTCCTTGCCATATACAATGATGGGAGTTAACTGAATGACAGACCTAATGATCTAAACCACGTGCATTTTACCATTCAGCCAATCCCCCCAGCCTAATTTAAGATGATGAAAACAAACACCCTAGATTAAATTCTAACGAGCTTCATATTCAAAGACAAGCCTGGAAATAAGGTACCTGTCATAGACAATGTCAGGCACAGATTCAGGCTTTGTCAGGCACAACCCGGTCAACCCCTCTGGTGCCTGTCATTTTGTCCGGCACTGACTTGTCTTTTTTATTGATATTATCAATACATGTCCGGCACTAAGTTGAAAATGTCAGTTACTATTTCATTAATGTCTGACATTTTGTCAGGTACATCTAAAACCGTTATTTCCTGGCCTGTTTATACATCAAAATCAATTATCCTTCATTTTTTCAATGTTGCATCTAAGATGATAAAAATGGCTGCCATATAGGCCTGGTCTGAAATTCTATATTTGTCGTTCATTCTGAAATATTGCAGCTTAAAAATTACGATGTCGAACTTCAGCTAAAATTAGAGTGATCCATACAGCTCTAGGTGGGTAACCTTATAAACAACAGATTAATACATACAGCATATAGTCATTCTCTGTAAATGAGAAAAAAAAAAAAAAAATTCCTGATTTGAATTCACATCATCATGTCTGGAAAAAGATATACGAAAATGAGAACCATATTAGGTTATAATTTTAAATGGATTTTGTCCGCCTGCTGCATGAGATCAGTCGTGGGGACAAGTCAGCTTGCTGATGAATTTAACCTTGAGCCAGAGTTTATATATGACTGGCTCTGAGAGTATAAATATGACTGGCTCTGAATAAATGAGACACATGGGTCAGAAAAATCAAAACACAGCTATGCATAAATTTCATTTTTGTATTTAAATTGTCCCGTCTTCATTAGCCCAGTCGGAGCAGAACAGTAGGACATTCAATCCCATTTCATTTTAATGAATAGCTGAGAAATTTAGTTTGAGTAACACAGAAAAAAGCCATTGAAAATGGCTAAAACTAACAAAGCTGATTAACAACCAAAACAACAAATTTTGTGCAACTTTTAAAAGTTTTTGCCTATGGCCGCTGGAGACTTAAAAATAGCCATTTTGAAGAAAGGTATGCTGGGAAATCACAATCTCGTGCCATATATCAGGTAAGGGGCCTGAGACAACTAGCAAGTGTTGATCGCTAATATATGTAGGTCCAAAATTAACTATCCCAATAACTTAATAGTAACTTACTAGTATTTAAAGATACATTATATAAGATTTAGATAAAGAGCTGGCCATTTTTACTATAATAGATCGAAAATAGATAATACAAAATGAATTTATTGCAAGCGAAGATACTAGCTTAATGTCTACTTAATATCGGAGATATCCGATGACATTGAGAGTTGATTATGGTCTTGTCATGTTAATAAAAGTTTACAGTTTACATAACATTTCAGGCCTAAAGAAAGGGAGAGAGAGAAATGTGGTTTAACGTCCACACAACACAAACTAGGTCATTTCGGGACTAACATGGTTCAATTTTTATTTCAATAATTCTCTTGCGCGTAGGGGTCTTTAGCTGTGGGAAGAAACAGGAGAAAACCCACGAGGACGGACAGGCGACCCTACTCCCTTGTCACGTACAACTGGGGAAGTGAAACCGCGCCAGTTGACTCAATAACAGACCTTATGATACAATGCGTATGTGCTAACCATTTGGCCATCCGATCGCCCGCCCCCCCCCCCCCCCCTATAGGCTTTTCAAAGTGAAAAGGAGAAATTATAAAGATATTTAAATACTAGTAAGATATTGGTATAGGTTAATTTGGACGTCCATATATTTGTTGCCAGCTCTTGCTAGGTGCCAAAGACCTCTTACCTGAGATATGGCACAAAGCTGTAAGTTTCCAGCATGCCTGTCTGGAAACCAACACATGGACACAATTATATGAAGTACATGATACTTTAAAGTTTACTTCTACCAACGTTTCGAGGAGGGTTCTCTTGCCTTTAATTAAGCAATGAACCATTCCCAGAAATAAACCTTTTAAGCAAGCCTGGAAATAAGGCACCTGTCACAGACAATGTCAGGCACAAAACCTCTGGTGCCTGTCATTTTGTCCGGTATTGATTTGTCTTTTATTATTGATATTATTAATACATGTCGGGCACTAAGTTGAAAATGTCAGGTACTATTTCATTAGTGACTGACATTTTGTCGTGTACATCTAAAACCGTTATTTCCAGGCCTGCTTTTAAGTAACTTGTATTCCACATAATTGTATCCACGTCTCATTCAGTTACTAAATGTCACTTAAACAAGAAATTAAAGGCAGGTAGGGAATAAGGATCGATAGCGCAATCCACGATCTGTTCATCGCTATCGGTTACCATATAACAATATTTTAGAATAAGGTCAACAAGTTATTCAACAATAAAAAGAGAATAAAAATGTGAATACACAACAATTTTGATTTTAAAGAAAAGTGCAGGAATTCCCTAAAGCGGTGGACACACTAGTCAAATGAATCGGACGAATCAATCAAAACTGGCCGAATGTTCGCTCAAATCAAACAGGTTTGATACCTTTGCCTAGTGTGTCCGCTTTGGCGTAGCATACGCCCGATTGTAGACTTCATTAGCCAATCACTAAGCCTACTCATCATCCACTCATATCGAGAAGTCATATGATTGTTTGAAGACATGGTCGCCGCCATGTTTAATCATGTGATATGAAAGGTGATGCAATCGCCTGGTGAATGGGGTGAAGGATTCACCTACTGTGTCCACCCATTTGACCGAATAAAATTCAGCACCGATTGATCCTTCCAAATGATTCGACTAATGTGTCCACCGCTTTACCCAAAACAGTTAATGATAAGCAGGTTCGCGGAAGTAGTAATATCCTTGAAACAATATAACTAAGAGTGCTAATAGTCATACATATACAATAACAGATAAAGGTATAATTTGCAACTTTGCATTGATTAAAAAATGAACAACAATGCTGATACTATTAATAAATATAATATGCCCTCATATATATCTATTTCAAATATATCAGGCCTGTAGCCAGCTAGTTGGCTGCGGAGGGGTAGTGAAGTTTTTAGGTTTGTGTGTGTGGGGGGGGGGGCACAGTCTACAGTAGGTATTTTAGAGCTATGGTCAGCAACTTTTTTTTTCGGGTGGGGGGGGGCAAAACATTTTATCAGGGGTTATTGCCCCCCCCCCTTGCCGACTACAGGCCTGAAATATATCTTTTTAATTTAAAGGGACAATTACACTCTGGCTGGCTTGACAGCTCCAGAAAATTAAAAAATAGCCTTATTCTAAGTACTAGATGTGTTAGTGTCTTACCTGTCCAGAGGGTTCAAAAATATTTTTAAATCCAAGTCACATTTGAAAAGCTTTACGTCAGGCTTTTCAAATCATTTAGTTGAATTTTTCCAATTTTTTAAATTAGGCGTGTTAAAATGAAATTTATATCACCAATTAATTGGAATATTGTAAAATAGTACAATTTGTTGGCCAGAATAAAGATTGGGACATATTATTCAGTTACAACAAGAGTGGTATTGAGCCTTTAAAACAAATCATTCTACAGGTTTAAAGATGCATTAGGGAGAGAGAAATGGGGTTTAACGTCCACTCGACACAAACTAGGCCATTTCGGGACAAACATATGGTTTAATTTTATTTCAATAATTCGCTTGCGCATAGGGTCTTTAGCAGTGGAGGGACCCGGAGAAAACCCACGAGGTTGGACAGGCGATCCCTACTCCTTGTCACATACAACCGGGGATTCAAACCACGCCAGTAGACTCAAAGACAGATTTTATGATACAGCGCGCGCACGCTAACCATTCAGCCATCCAACCCCCTAGATGCATTACGTAAGATTTAGATAAAGTGCAGACATTCCTTGTTATAAAATTTTAAAAATAGATAATAAAAAATGAATATATTGAAAATTTCATCCAAATTACTTTATTCTGAATGAAGTTATGAATGTTTGAAGTTTTGACAAGATTTAGCCTCGAGTCTTGATTTTTATGATCTAATCCATTTAATATTCTGGCCATTCAATGGTCTAGAGAATTGATTATAGGCTCCTCATGTTAAAAAATGTTTAAAGCTGCAATTTCATATTTTTAAGTTATATTTTTAAAATTTATTAAAATAAAGCCTTTAAATAGATGGTATCTATAAACAGTCCTACCTTGTTAAAGTATAATCCTATTAATCCTATAATTCACTATTGCCAGTTGAGAAATTGGCAAAAATATCATTATCAACTTTAAATTCAAACGTTTGAAGATAGCCATTCCATGGGGGGGGGGGGGGGGGGGGGGGAAGAGAAAAACAAGGGAGGTAATTGTGTTATTATTTCCGGGGTCAAAGGATTTTTAAGAGGGAGAATAATACCTATAATCGTATAATAGTGAGTTGACAACCTATTGAGCAAAAGACATAGAAATAATTGTTTTGACTTTCTTAGAAAATATGAAATTATCACTTTAAATAGTAATTTATATACCGTAACATATCGAAGCCAGCAAAAGAACACCTGCAATAGGCAGATTTATCTCTAATCCATTTAATATCTTGGCCATCTAATGGTCTAGAGAATTGATTATAGGGTCGTTATGTTAAGAAATGTTTAATAATTTATATAATATTTGAACATTTGAAGCCAGCAATATACAGATTTACCTTTTATGATAATGTATCTTTAATATTTTCGTCAATTTCACTCAGAAGCACACAATGATTAAACCTTTTAGTCTCAAAATCAAATCCTGCAAATCTCAATATACAATGTGCTGCTATGCTATTCTTCAATTTCTATTTAAAGGGAATCTAGAAATCACTTCTTAAATTGAGCTAAATTTTCAGAGATTTTTTTTTTCAAAACTTTTATGTTTTTAAATATATTTTGTCAATGTGTCATCGCGTACCCTATGAAATTGGTGACTTCTCCTTTAATGATATTATTATTATTATACATGTTAAGGGCATTACGAACATAAGTAGAAAACAAGTATTTGATAATAACTAAATCAGGGTTTTCTAAATTTTGTCAGGTGGTCCACGTATATTGTTTACCTCGGATTAACAAGACTTTTTTCCAAAGTACATGTATAACACAATTTTTTAACATAATCCAAAGTTTTTTAAAAATATATTTTGAAAGAAGAACTATAAATTTCACTGTATTTATTGTGTACGAAGGTACAATTTAGTAGAATTCTGATTTTATTGCATATAAATTGTCTAATTGGCAAGTTCTCCAGCTAGTCAATTTCAGTGCCAGTTAGTCGAGGGAAATGAGAGACCTGGCCTATGTATTACGTGTCTCTATACTTTGTGGAAGGAGAGCCCTGGCCTATGTATTACATGTCTCTGTAGTGAGTGAAAGGCGAGCCCTGGCCTATGTATTACGTGTCCCTGCAGTATGTGAAAGGAGAGCCCTATGTATTATGTCTCCCTGTGGTGAGTGAAAGGAGAGCCCTGGCCTATGTATTACATGTCTCTGTTGTGAGTGAAAGGCAAGCCCTGGCCTATGTATTACATGTCCCTGCAGTTTATGAAAGGAGAGCCCTATGTATTATGTGTCTCCGTGGAGAGCCCTGGCCTATGTATTACGTGTCTCTGTAGTGAGTTAAAGGAGAGCCCTGGCCTATGTATTACGTGTCTCTGTAGTGAGTGAAAGGTGTGCCCTGGCCTATGTATTATGTGTCTCTGTAGTCTGCGAAAGGAGTGCCCTGGCCTATGTATTATGTGTCTCTGTAGTCTGTGAAATCAACAAGCTATATACATGTAAGGATATCTAACCCAACTTGTATATTATTTTATGAAAAGGCAGTAAAGATGACTAGTTATAACAAAGCTTCAAGAGTTGTTTCATTACAGAAACATTTTTCATACAAACAAATAAAACAATATTTATGGAATAACAATTACTATCCTTTATTACACTGCAAGGAGAGAGAGAGAGAGAGAGAGAGAGAGAGGTTCATTCTACACAAACCAGGTCATTTTGGGACTAATATATGGTTCAATTTTAGCAGTGGGAGAAAACCGGAGAACCCAAAGAAAAACCCACACGAGGTTGTCACGTACAACTGGGGGAATCGAAACCACACCAGCTGACTCAATGCTCAATGACAGACCTTATGACACAACGAGCACGCACTAACCCTTCAGCCATCCATCCCCACTTTGAAATGTTGCAGAGTAATAGACCACAGTAATTGTTATCCATAAATAATCTGTTAATCTAAATATCATTCAAAGAATATGTAATTACGTATCATATAACATTTGTTTGACCAGCAATAAGTGAGAATGAATAATAATAATAATAATAATAACTAGAAATAATAATAATAATAATAACTAAAACAATAAAACAAACACCATGCTCAACATGGATATATAGTGAAGAGTGGAGAAGGAAGGTGAAACACTTTACGTGATAAGTAGATTTTGAGTTTAGGTGGAACAGGTAATCTCGGAACTATTTTCAAAATGTCTCTATCACATATATTGTGTTGGATGACTTTCCGACACAAATTCATCAAGGAGTGCGGGGATTTGATGTTGTTATTGTACCAATGATAGAACTGTTCGTCATCCTCCAATAGTTCTTGTGGAATTCCAGGCCCTTTCCATTTTAGCCAATCGGAGAGGTTCATCATATCGCAGCCAGCTGCGAATAAAACTTTAATACATGGGACCTGGTATTTTAAATCTTCTTTGTAGAGACCAGTGGAAAGGGAGCTAACACACACATACAGGGGTGTTCTCCCCTTGTGATCTATAATATTGATGTCAGTTTTAGCTCGAATCAATAAACTAATCATGTCCTTCAGTTTCCAGTGAGCTGCGATATGAATAGGTGCTTTTCCTGACTTATCCCGGCTGTAACGATAAAATATGAATATAGATTAGGGCGAGTGTAACAAAACATAGGCCCAAGCAGTTCATAAAATGAGAGAGAGAGAGAGAGAGAAATGGGGTTTAACGTCCACTCGACACAAACTAGGTCATTTCGGGACTAAAATATGGTTTAATTTTATTTACATAATTCGCTTGCGCGTAGGGGTCTTTAGCAGTGGGTGGAAACCAGAGTTCCCGGAGAAAACCCACGAGGTTGAACAGGCGACCCTACTCCTTGCCACGTACAACCGGGGATTTGAAACCACGCCAGTCGACTCAATGACAGACTTTATGATACAGCGCGCGCACGCTAACCATTCAGCCATCCAACCCCCCATAAAATGAGATGGGGTTTATTGTCCTACTCAGACTGGACTAATAAAGACTGTCATATGCCATACAGTGTGCTATGAGGGAAACTTTGGCTAGACAGTGGAAATAAATGAAATGAAATGGAGTTTAACGTCCTACTGTTCTGCTCCGAACTGGGCTAATGAAGACTGGCATACGCCATACAGTGTGCTATGAGGGAAATTTTGACCGGACAGCGGCACTACGGACTTCTCTTATATCGAATTCCAACTGTCAAGGGATCTTTTACGTGCACGCCAATGTGTCACGGGACCTCGGTTTTTCGTCACATCCGAAGGACTAGACAGCTGTCCTTGTCAGGCCCTCCGTCCTGCATCGCTGACAAGGGGGAACCACGCCGGAAAATCTTGATGAACTTTCTCGGCCAATGCAGGGATCGAACAGCCGACCTCCAGGCTAGCGAGCCAGTGTCTTACCCACTTAGCCACGCGATCCCTCAAATATCGAAAGGAACCGAGATCTTTGGGATATAAGCATATATTTAAAGTTTCATAAAAATCGGACAAAAATTGTGACCGCTAGTGGGTCCAAAACCTTGGTACTACATACTTTAACACTATACACGAAATTCAAACACAATCATCATTATGGTGTAACAGTGACCTCTAGGCCGACCACAACCTAAAAACGTGATTTTTCAGACAATCAGGGGCCAAAATCCAGGAAGTTGTGGCCCGATATGTGCGAATATCGATATGAACCAAGATCTTTGGGAGATAAACCTATACTTCCAGTTTCGTCAAAATCGGATAAGAATTGTGACCTGTAAAGTGTTCACAAACAAATTGTGGACGGACGGGCGGATGGACGGATAGAGGCGACAACAATATTTGTCTACATGAAAATGTGGGCGTAGAAGAGAAACAGGAAATGGGTCTCTTAAAAAAACTCTTATGATCTAAAGCACTTGTCTACCCCCTCCACCCTTTAAATTGTCCATATTTAGCATGGTCTGTCGTGTACAATCGAGGAATTGAAACCAAGCCACAGACTTTATGATCTACTAAAGCACTCGCTTAAAACCATTCCGTCACTAACCCCTCCCACGAACATGTCCATATTTCTATATTTACTTACAAATCAACGGAGGCTCCTGCATCTAGTATTCGAACCACAGCATTGAAATTAGAATGAACAATTGCATTTTGTACACAGATATATAGTGGTGTCTGGTCTTCCTTGTTGGCTAAATTTACATCAGCATCTGTATTAGTATATAAAGTCAAAAAGTCAATAAATAATAATAGAGATAGTTGTTAATCAATAGTCATCAATAATCAATAGTCATCAATAATAGATATAGTTGTTAATCAATAGTCATTAATAATCAATAATAGAGATAGTTGTTAATCAATAGTCATCAATAATTAATAATAGCGATAGTTGTTAATCAATAGTCATCAATAATAGATATAGTTGTTAATCAATAGTCATTAATAATAGATATAGTTGTTAATCAATAGTCATTTATAATCAATAATACAGATAGTTGTTAATCAATAGTCATCAATAATCAATAATACAGATAGTTGTTTAAAATCATCATCAATAATCATTAATAATCAAAAATAGAGATAGTTTTTTAAAATCATCATCAATAGTCATTAATAATCAATAATAGAGATTGAGACAGTTGTTTAAAATTATTATCAATAGTCATTAATAATAATTAATAATTGGTTTCACACGTAGGTGTCTTTAACAGTGGGAGGAAACCGGACGACCCGGAGAATTTCTTTTAAAGATGCATATTGTAAGAGCTAAATCTGCTTATTTCAGGTCTTTTTCTAGTTTTAAACGTTATATAAATCATTATTGAGACATTCATTGACATGACAAGCTCACAATCAACTCTCTAGATCATCGGATGGCTTAGATATTGAATAATGGATTGGATAATTAATCGGTAAAATGGTTTACCAAGACTGTTTAGCAATTTGAGCAAAATTAATGATATGTAAGAAAAGATGTTTTAAATATCACCTTCTTTAACTAGAATATCTATAAGAACCGGCCGACCATGATAAGCAGCTTTATATAACGGTGAACAACCATTACGATCCGTTAAATTAACAGAAGCTCCAGCTCGGATCAACATCTGAATAATAAATAAAATATACAAATTACATTTGCCATTTAGGGGGAGGGGACATGGCTCAGGTGAGAGAGGGAGAGAGAGAAAGAGAGAGAGGGAGGAAATAAGTAGCAAAATTTAACCTTCACTCCACTCCCACTCAACTCCACACAAATACAAGTCATATCGGTAGGATTCATTCATTCATTGTAGAAACCTACATGTAGCTCCAATTAGTAATTGTTTTCTATAGAGAGAAATGGGGTTTAACGTCCACTCAACACAAACTAGCTCATTTCGGGACTAACATATGGTTTAATTTTATTTCAATAATTCGCTTTCGCGTAGGGGTCTTTAGCAGTGGAAGGAAACCGGAGGACCGGGAGAAAACCCACGAGGTTGGACATGCAACCCTACCGAGGAATCGAAACCACCTCAGTTGACTCAATGACAAGACCTTATGATACAACCTGCACGTGCTAACCATTCGGCCATCCAACCGCCCTGTTTTGCATAGAACTCTTGCGTTTAATTTATTTGTTAAATTAATAAATTAAATGTTGTTTAAACAGTATATCCTATAAGGTTGGACAGGCGATCCTACTCCTTGTCATGTACAACTGGGGAATAGAAACCTCGCCAATTGACTCAATGACAAGACCTTATGATACAACCTGCATGTTGTAACCATTCGGCCATCCAACCCCCTCCGTTTTCCATAGAACTCTTGCATTTAATTTAATGTGTTCAATTACTAATATTCAAAAAGCTACCTTTGTAATTTCTACATGATTAAGAGAGACAGCAGCTAACAGTGGAGTGGTGCTATCTTTCACACTAGGTACAGCAGGATTATTCCATGGATAATTGATATCAGCACCCTGAGAAATCATCTGTCGGACACTCTCCTTATCATTAGCCATCACCGCTAAATGCAGATCCCTTTCCCTCTGGGGCATACCCAGGGAGTGACATTCTGCCCGGGTTGATTTTGAGTTACCCATAGCACCAATGGTCTACCACAGGACTTTACATGCTTTCCTGAAAATAAGAACTGAGATAAGAAATTGCAAATTAATTTAAAAGAGGGGCTATCCTTATTGGTCAAAATCCCCAAAAGGCCAATTCAATGACACTTAATGTCACAGGCAATAGGGAAATTTGGCCATAAATTATATGAGAGATTCGGGACTAACACATGGTTCAATTTTATTTCAATAATTACATGTACGAAGTTACACCAAGTTTAAAGGACAATATTGGTGTCAGCCATTATTATACATGTATATGTGACAGGATTACATGTCATTTGGGACTCGTGTCATTTGAGACTCAAAAAAATATGACCACGACATTTGGGACTCGGGTATACGACGTTTGGGACTTTGGTATACGTCGTTTGGGACTCGGGTATACGACGTTTGGGACTCGTATCGGGATAATTTATTAGAAATAGGCCAATTCAAAACATGAAAGAAAATATTTATTAACATGAAACACGTGGTTAGTAAAAGGCTAAACCAAACGATAAAACATTAGTTGCACTTACGGTTCTTTGATAATCATCGATTCTCATAAAAGTTATATATTTATTTAAAACTAATAATATGCTGATGAATTTATTTGAAAATGACCTACACAAAAAAAAACAATATAAATATTTACACGACATGCAATCTTTTTACAAGCCCCTAGAAATTGTTAACGATAATCCGTGAGCTGCACGTTGACATGCTTGTCGTAGATGGCAATACCAATCGATAAATTAGTGCGTACAAGGCAAAGTTTTTTTGTGGAAAATATAAGAAATGGCAACGATCAAAGCGGGATAATTAAAGCTGATTAACTGATAATCCCGATGTTATTGCAGTATGTTCAAAGAAACCTAATGGTTCTTTGGTGGATGAGGAAAAGCGTGAGTTGTCAATCATCGAGAATGGCGTCCGTGTGTTGATTGCAGTTATACCGTTTCACGAAAAAAACATGAGCAGTAGTCGGTCAATCAAGCTCGTTTACTATTTGATAAAAAAACCCCAACAAAGTATTACTAAATATACACAAATTTTCAACAATATATTATTGTCAAGTTTTATACTCGCAGATAAAACAAAACAAAGGAGAAGTTTTATACTCGCAGATAAAACAAAACAAAGGAGAACTAGCAGTGTTAATCGCGGTCTCAACAATCGCCGATCAACTAAATAAAACGAAAGACAACTAAGACAGCTGTTACTATACATGTATATCTCATAAATAAATAGTTGTTGTTGTTAGTTAGTTGTATTTTACGTCCGCTTCCACCGAGGTGATATCGCAGACAAGTACATAAATAAATAGTCCCAACTGTCGTTTATATTGAGTCCCAAATGTCGTTTGTGTTGAGTCCGACTGTCCCAATTGACGCCAATCAAGTCCCAAACGTCGTCAACTGAGTCCCAAATGTCGTTTATGTTGAGTCCCAAATGACGTGAGTCCCAAATGACGTGATACCATGTGACAGTACTGGTTAAACATATTCCAAATATAATTTTAACACTAAGATCAGTGTGCCACGAGATCTTCCTAAGTCAAGTGTGCCGCGAAATTTTGAACGGCACACTAAGAAAATTTCTCACTAAAGAAGCCAGTTATTTGACAGATAAAATTCGAAACACTGCAATAAAGTAAGTTCATATCTGTGTTTTTCTTATTTAGTTTGAGTCATTCTATGTGCCTAGAATGGCGGACAGGAACTGTGTTTGTTTATAATTAGAGACAGCTTCGAAAGGAACTATTGGAGACTGTACTAGTGATTTGGATATTTGTTGAGTACTGGATGCAATGTTAGAAACAAAAGTTGACGAATTATCACCAATCTATCCTTACCATGCATCCGAGAAAACGTGACTCTGTACAGTGTAAAAGTGCAATATGTCGATCTCGAGTTTGATAACCTGGTTGAAGTCTACCAGTACGTATTAAAATATGGACTCAAAATTCATTGACACATAGTCCTACCACTTAGGCGAAAAAAAAAGAGTTCTGTTTCCGGGAACCCATCACAAAACCCCGACACTATTTACATCTTTTTTATAGAGTTGAAAGAAATGTAAAAAAAAAAAAAAAAAAAATTTCACCAATCGACCGTTCAGTAAACTCTTGGCCTGTCAGATTTGTGAAAATGACTATATTTCATGTTGTTATAAATGAATATGATTTCCTTTACCACTCGCAATAGGCACGATTATTAAAAACTCTCAATCTCATACTGTTGACGCGAGATTTCTAACTCAGTAACTGACGTGAAAATTGAGTTTAAAGTTGTCGTATAGATTTACCCTGGCATATTCTGAAAAGACAATCGCAACTTGTGTCCTAATAAAGAATGGTAAACAAGCGAACATATATTTCAACATATAAATCGTAAAATTCTACTGGAAAATACATGTTGAATTATTATAAATTTGTGTCTGTGACGAGAAATGATTCCTTTTGGCGAACAAAACAGAATCACAGTGAAAGGTAATGGTTCCAAAATAGCTTTGGTGGAACAGAGGTGGGGATAAAGTGGTGTTTTCATATTGCAGCTTATAATTAATACAAACCAACAGTTGACATCGTCCGTTCAGAGACTGTTCCTAAAGGAACTACAGGAATTTAAACAGAACCCTTAATTTACAGGCGGTCACAGTGGCTTAGTTAGTAGCTAAGACGCTGTCTCGCTAGCCTGGAGGTCGGGTGTTCGATCCGGCATTGGCCGAGAAAGTTCATTCAGATTTTCCAGCATGGTTCCCCCTTGTCAGTGATGCAGGACGGAGCGCCTGACAAGGACAGCTGTCTAGTCATTCAGATGGGACAGAAAACTGAGGTCCCGTGTACAAATTTGGCGTGCATGTAAAAGATCCCTTGACAGTTGGAATTTGATATAAAAGTAGTCCATACTGCCACTGTCCGGGCAAAATTTCCCTCATAGCACACTGTATGGCGTATGTCTCCGTCTTCATTAGCCCAGTTCGGAGCAGAACAGTAGGACGTTAAACACCATTTCATTTCATTTCCTTAATTTACGGCTTAACAACATACACGACTTACATGCAGACCTGTAACGACTCCAGTCTGTTCCACTTTTTGTGCCCTTCAACTCCAGGAAAACAAATTATTTGGGGGCAGTTGTTTCTGAATAATGAGTGTTTGTTCAAATCCTGTTTCAATTTCAATTTTGTTGGTGAAATATGTAAATAATATCGTCGTAATAATTTTACGATTCAGGCGATTTTCCCTTTTCATATGCAAATGATGTCCCGGATGAAAGGAGCATTAAGTTAATTTTCCAGAGCATGGCCGTAATTCATAGATACAATTGACTTCAAATGATAATATTTGACTTTTCACGGCAGTCTTATATTTTGTTATAATATGTAGTACACAAGACTCACAACAAATCACAAATGTAGCAGTCACTTCAAAGACCGACTAATCAATAAACAGTATGAAAATATGAAAATAATAAGCACTCCCGGGTATTTTGTCACATCTGTCAAAATAAAAAAGACAAACACGTGACGTACAATCTTGCAAGTGCCCGTTTTTGTCTTGCCGTTTTTCAGCTACCAGTCGGCACATGAAAACAATTCAATTATGATATACCAAATTGGGTATTAATGTTGATGAATGATGCCTAGCATTTGTAAATATTAAATCTAGAAGTATTTTTTTAAAATCAAATACAGCATTCTGTGTACTGAACTAATCGAGACTACCAAAGGTCATTTAGTGCATGGAAGACGTTTCATACCAATTGCGCCAATACGATAAGACATTTCGAACCTTTGAAAGATTTTTGTTGTTGAAAATAATAATAAAAAGAATGAATTATGTTGTTTAACGACCTACTTTTCTGCGGTATCCGGACGCACGCCATGCGGTGTGCTAGGAGTAAAATGTATTTTAATACACGCTAACGTATTATCCGAATAACTAGACGCTGTTCCGTATTCACCACTGCTAAGGAGATACCACCTCGGAAAACTCCGAAGAAATTCCTCGAATTGAGCTTGGGACGTCTTGATTAGTGAGTGAGTTAACATCTATGGAAACTGGAAACTACCACTGTGTGGTCTAAATTATCACTATGTGGTTCACCTTCATCCACTTGTTCTCTCCCTTCTTTCTATCTCGAGCACTGTAAGACTCAGAGACAGAGTTGTTCTCTTTTGTAAATGAAAATGTGTGTGTGTGTGTGTGTGTGTGTGTGTGTGAGAGAGAGAGAGAGAGAGATAAAGAGAGAGAGAAAAAATAATGACATGTTATGCAGGCTATTATTCTTATTTTGTCGTGAACAGAAGCAGCCTAGGTCTCTTTAATTTATTTATAATAGAGAGTTTCTAAATACATTTGTAATTATGGTAAGTTTACAAATGTCATCATATATTTAACAATATTTATAAAACCACATTTTCTACTATATAAAACTACGTAATAGATACCCTTTCTTCTTTCTCTCGGTCTGCTCTTATATATTATATTTACAATAAAACGCGTTAGTATTACTGTTTAATTTAATTCTATAATCAGCCATCATACAAATTAAACGTCTTACTTTCCGGCACGAATTGGGATTCAGATTTCCAACTGTCAGGGGGTACGCGACATCGGTTTGTCGTCCTAACTGAACGAAAAAATGCCACGTACTCCGTTCTGCACCAGGCCGATGGAATGTAGTACCATTGGAGAGCGGACCACGCCAAACCGGTCGCCACATCCTACATATGACCCATGCATCTTTTCTTACTACATATCTTAATAGCCTTGTGACCGTCTAGCATTTTCACTTGTCGCCTTTGCTTCCACTTCACGTTGTGTATTGTATTCTTTTTCTTATTTATCTCAGTTAGTTAAGACGTTTGTCTTACCAGGAATAACAATGCAACAGTTCCCTTTTAAATTTTATATATCAAGCGGCTTACATATGATACAATGCATAATAGAATAAAGTCATTCACTCAAACCCCATCCAGCCAGACAAGCTGGAACAAGTCTGCTGATAGAAATTGCTACATCTTTTCTCTTCTAGAATCTGTCTGCTGTCTGACGAATTCTCACAAATATGATAGTTTTGTAGCTTTTGGTTTTGGACCTTCAATTATCTAATTGGTCAAATATGATGTAAATAATTATAGAGATTGGTTAATTAAGCCAAATGATGCAATCGTAATTTTCCTATCACGTGTTAGACATGATATTCTCATTCCCACGGAACCAGCTAATGTTTACCAAATTATAACTCTTTTTTATATACCAATCTGTCACTCATTCACTAATTTGATTTAAGTACATATTAGACAATATCTTTCAATCCCACAACTTGCCAAAGACATTGATTAATAGAATATAATGCCATCATTTTTCTCTATTCCTTGTCTATAAATTTAAAAGCAATATCGCAACGACAATATTTCTACACGAACCTGGACCTTCATGGTTACACAGCTAATGGTGCTATTGTAGATCGGTTATATCTATTTGAAAAGGCTAAACACCTACTTTCCTCGAGGTCACAAACAAGGCTAGTGCTTTACCCTAACCCTGACCCAGCCCTACGCCTCGGTAACAATCACGTACCTTAACCCTGTTTACATCTTGTGACCTTGGGGAAATATGCATTTGGCCTTGTTAATAAGCAGATGTTATAAGCTCTCTCCACGACCGAATAAAACAACAAATTAAATGTTCATTCTTTTTTTGTACCGAAAATTTATGTTTCTGAAACTGTTATGTTCTGTTTAACAACTACCAAAACACCTTTCACGTTTCTTATTTTAGGGGGTGTGGATGGCTGAATGGTTAGCAGGCGCGCGCTGTATCATAAAGTCTGTCATTGAGTCAACTGGCGTGGTTTCGAATCCCCGGTTGTATGTGACAAGGAGTGGGGTCGCCTGTCCAACCTCGTGGGTTTTCTCTGGGTCCTCCGGTTTCCTCCCACTGCTAAAGACCCTTACGCGCAAGCGAATTATTGAAATAAAATTAAACCATATGTTAGTCCCGAAATGACCTAGTTTGTGTCGAGTGGACGTTAAACCCCATTTCTCTCTCTCTCTCTTTCTTATTTATAAGAGCAAGACCTGTGATGGAACGAAATGGTAATCATAATGAACTATCAATTTTTTTAAATGGACGAAACGTCTCCCAAGGGACACAACTCTCAATGACCCAACGATGGTGCAATTTTTATCGAGTAGAGAATGCCTCGGACCAAATCAACCGACTGTCTTACTACGATTTGCTTGAAAAATATTGCCAAGAACATCGACAAATATTGGTTTGCTGATGTGGACCGAGATTTTGGAGAAAATCCACATTTTTTATATATAGTTGGCCCGTTTGAGTGCCTGTGTGAGTATACATGTACTGTAGGCTATGATGTATTGTCTGTATGTAATGTATTATTTATTAGCCTTTCTACTATTCTAAACCATTCTATAGAAAATCATTGAGGTATTGAGAGGTGTATTTTATACGCCAACATTGTAATTATGTCATAATAAGGATAGTCTGTTCTTCTGTCCGTCCACAACGTATTTGACAAATCAAGAGATTTCGAGTTTGATCCTGGTATAGAGACAGAGAAAGTTTGTCAGAATTGTCAGCATGATTTCTCCCATGTCAGTTGTGCATACAGAGATACTGGCATGAAAAAAGCTTCATGGAACGAAAAATCATGGCCCTGTGTACACATTGGCCTGACAAGGACAGCTGTCTAGTTGTTTGGATGGGACGACAAATTAAGGCCAAGTGTACACATTGGCATACACCTAAAAGAACCCTTGACAGCTGGAATTCGATATACATTGGTGTGCACGTAAAAGATCCCTTAGCAGTTGAGTAGGCCGTAGAACAAAATCTTTCTCATACTTATAGCACACTGTATGGCATATGCCTGTCTTCATTCATTACCCCAGTAGGTTCAGTAAATTAGAACATCAAACCTCATTTCATTTCACTTTGTATTTCAGCTGGTGAACAAATACAGCAACTGATTTACATCTTATCATCATTTAAACTATTACGACGACAACATCTTCACGTTCTTATTTCCCAGAACTTAAGATCATTGGACCTCAGCCAGTCAGTCATCATTGCCAACAATGGACTCATCTTAAAATCAATTGGTTATCGCTGTAAGGTAAAACAAACTTGTCTTTTAGGCCAAAATAAAATTACCTGTCTTTACAGTTACCTGACCGACCCCATTTTTTGGACGGGGGTTGGATGTCCGAATGGTTAGCATGTACGCGTTATATATAAGGTCTGACATTGAGTCACAAATGTAGTTTGATATCCCCGGTTGTACATGACAAGGAGTAGGGTCACCTGTCCAATCTTGTGAGTTTTCTCTGGGTCCTCCGGTTTACTCCCACTGCAAAAGACCCCTACGCGCATGCGAATTATTGAAATAAAAATTGAACCATATGTTAGTCCCGAAATGACCTAGTTTGTGTTGAGTGGACATTAAAATGTTCATTGTGTATTTAATATTGAATATCACGGCAAGATAATATCGACATTGATTGAAATGGACCAAGATTGAATTCTAATTCATGATTTTAATTTTGAATTGTATGGAAAATACTGAGCTAGAGAGGTTTAAATAGCCTCTTTAAAGATCCCTTGACAGTTGGCAATAGAAATCATAATTGGTCGTAGGCTGCGTACCACAGCTTTTGGGGCAAAATGTCCCTCATAGTACACTGCAAGGCGTATTTTCATTTATCTCGGACAAGCCTTGCTACTTTTGTGCGGTTGGGTCGTCGAATGATCTGTCATTGAGTCAAGTGGTGTGGTTTCAATTCCCTGTTTAAACGTGACAAGGAGTAGATTTGCCTGTCCAACCTCGTGAGTTTTCTCCGAATCCTCCTGTTATCATCCTACTGCTAAAGAAACATACGCACAAGCGAATACTTGAAATAAAATTTGAACCATGTTAGTCCCAAATGGGGGGGTTGGAAGCCAGAATGGTTAGCAGGTGCGAGTTGTATCATAAGGTCTGTCATTGAGTCAGTTAGCAGGGTTTAGATTCCCTGTTTGTACATGACAAGGAGTAGAGTTGCATGTGCAACCTCGTGGGTTTTCTCCGTGTCCTCCGGTTTCCTCCCACTGCTAAAGACCCCTACGCGCAAGCGAATTATGGAAAAAAAATTGAAGCATATGTTAGTCCCGAAATGACCTAGTTAAGCCTCCCCCTCTCTCTCTCTCTCTCTCTCTCTCTCTCTGGTGTTTCCATCTTCATTAACCCCATTGATGAAGAAAAGTAAGGGAGACAATCAGAAAAGTTCAATGTAAACACACTAAATAAAAGTTTTATCATTCTTATTATAATTTTACTGATATCATATTGTATTATTTTCAGAAATTGACAGCGTTGAATATTTCAAATTGTTCTTGGATTCCTGCTGCTTCCATTGCCGATGTCATCAGAAACTTGCCTTTATTAAAACACCTCGGCCTACAACGAACAAAATCAAATGACCTTGTTATGTCCGCTATTGCCGAGTCTTGCAGTCATCTGATTAATTTAGAAATTTCAGCATGCCAAATCACCGACAATGGTGCTCAAAGTTTATGTGGTGGGAAATTAGCAAACGGACCAAAATGTAAATCTTTAGTGAAACTGGACGTCAAAGCTACAAAAATTGGAATAAATGGGGCTATGATGATTATCAAGACTTTTGAAAAATTGCAGATGTTTAAATTTGCGGATGTTGTCGAAGCTGTGAAACAGATAGTCGAAAGTAACAATAATCAAACTAAAAATGGTGAAAATGCATTAAAACTGTGTTATTTGTCAGCTACCGGTGTAAAATGTCGTGGAATTAGCTCAGAGAGTATCGTCATGTCTGTCCTGTGTTGTCCGTTTGTAACAGACCTGACTCTTTATCGGGGTGCAACGAACGAAAACGTGCAATATTTATTAAATTTAAAGTTTTTAAGAAATTTAAAAATTACCAGTGATAAAGCTGGCGATGTAACATTTGATGATGGACTACTTCCTGTTTTAAAATCCAAGGGAGATAATCTCAAATATTTAGGATTATATGATATAGACGATATAGATTTATGTAAATTAGGATTTTATTGTTCGAACTTAGAGCGTCTGAAGATATTTATGCCGATGTTTAATCCTGTTAAATTTAATTCTTCCACAAACTATATAACTAACCCCAAATCTGGTGCATTTAGACATTTAAAAGAATTTATGCTAGTGATAGGAGAAGATGACGCCATTTTAAAGTCGTCTGATCTTTATTTTGTTTTAGAGAATGCTTTGAAATTGGAGAAGTTGCATTTGATTAATACGCAGTGTTTAACGGATAATTTATTAAAGAGAATATTATTATTAAATCCTCTCGTCCACATCGATCAAATAGAACTAGAGACATGCCATCATATTACTGAAGATTCTGTCTGGCAGCTGATAGCTTGCCAAAGTCCTTTAAAACAGTTAACCCTAACTGGCTGCCATGAAATAACTCGACAAAATCTTGATCAATTCAAAAAATTTAGCAAAGCACAAAATCTAAATTTGTCAATATATGGGAATATATTGTAACATGATTTATATAAACTGGCATTATGTAAGAGCTAAATCTGTCTATTGCAGGTCTTTCTTTTACCCTGAAATGTTATACAAACTATTAATTAGAAATTTATTAAAATGAAAAGACCTTAATCAACTCTTAATCAATTTTCACTGGATTTGAATCCGAGCTGCTGCTCGAAGCTCATTGATGATTAAATCTAAAAATGGATAATCAAAACTATCTTTTTTATTGTACTCACATTAGTAATGATGATCAAGGCTAGGCCTAAAATTCAATTGCTAATATCTCAGTTCAGAGTGGAGCAATTTGACTGAAACTTTCAGCATGTTCCCTTTACATTATCTAGTTTTTAACTATTATAGTGAAAACTTCCAGCTCTTTATCTAATCTTCCATAATGCTCCTTTAATTTGAGTAGATTGAACTTATTTATTTTTCTCACACCTTTTAAAGAATGGGGAGGGGAGGGGGAGGGGGGGACTATTACAATAGGTTTGTCAGCCTGTCTGTCAAACACATCTTTTGTAACAAAATGAGACTCTGTTTCTAATTGAGGTACAATGTTCAAATTTTGTTCAGGAGTTTATTAGGAGAAGGTCTTGCTTGAGTTTGATGATGAGCATTTTCTGCTTAGGCTATATTATAAGTGCAAAATGCAAAATTACCAAGTCTCTCTCTCTCTCTCTCTCCCCCTGGGGAGTTGGATGGCCGAATGGTTAGCACGTGCACGCGCTGTATCGTAAGGCCTGTCATCGAGTCAACTGGCGTGGTTTCGAATCCCCGGTTGTACGTGACAAGGAGTAGAGTTGCCTGTCCAACCTCCTAGGTTTTCTCCGGGTCCCCCAGTCCTCCCACTGCTAAAGACCCCTGATCCCTACGCGCAAGCGAATTGAGTGAAATAAAATTAAAAACCACATGTTAGTCCCGAAATGACCTAGTCTGTCGGACATTAAACTCTCTCTTCTCTTCTCTTCTTCCCCTCTCTCTCTCTCTCTCTCCCCTGTATTGAAGCGATTTAGTTGGCTTGTTTTATTTATATACAATATCTGGTAGTATATTGATTTTAATTATATGCCATATATATACAAGCATTTAACTTTTTGAATTTTATATATATAATATATTATTTTATATGTACATGTACAGAGGAAACTGGTTTTCTTTGATGTAGATCAAAATATATTATTGAAATATATGACTGAAGAAGTTGTTTTGATATAATCACAATAAAGTGTTGATCAGTTTGATATAATGTGTCATTTCAATTTGTGGTGGGTTTGGCCATATCTGTTGACAGATTATTAAAAATATGATATATTTTGATAGTTACAAAATCATTTGTGCCATACATTTTGGTTGATCATTTCCCAGTTCTTTTCAGTTAAAAAACTTTATAAAAGCAGACATTTTGTATATGTATTCAATTTGAAATAATAAATTATATCTGTTTTCCGACAATCTGATGCAAATACTGTTCTGCTCGGACTGGGCTAATGAAGACGGGCATACAACATACAGTGTGCTATGAGGAAAATTTTGCCCGGCCAGTGGCACTATAGCCTTCTTTTATATCGAATTCCAACTGCTGATGGATCTTTACATGCAGGCCAGTGTATACATGGAACCTCAGTTTTGCGTCCCATCCAAACGACTAGACAGCTGTCCTTGTCAGGCCTTCCATCCTGCACCACTGACAAGGGAAAACAACCTCGGAAAATCCCAATGAACTGGGCAGTTTCCCATACGCACCAATACAATAAATATATGTTTAGTAACCATTTATATTTTTATTCATGTGAGTGGTCGAAACTCCAGTGCACTGCTTTGCCTGGGGGCACAAATACTGTTAAGATGGTCCTGATAATAGACCTTTAAGACCCATAAGACACAGCATCTAAGCTAAGCCACCAAGTACAACTTTACTTGGTAAACTAAGCTGCCAAGTACAGCTAGCTTTGCATGCTAAGCTAAGCCGCCAAGTGCAGCTTTACTTGCTAAGCTAAGGGAAAAAATTCAAAAGCTGTCGATTACTTGTACTGTAAGCAAAGGTAAGCTGGTCTTAGATGGATCACATGATTGCAGCAGCAGGCGTCTTGTTGCTGATTGGCTGTTTGGCAGCGGTGTGTTTTGAAGTGCGAAGAAAATTCCTCTCTTCGCCTTGTGGAGTATAAATCGGCCTTAGACATCCCATGCCATACACCCAAACTATTTCTTTCTCTTTAATTCCAGGGGAAGTGGATGGCCGAATGGTTAGCATGTGTGCGTTGTATCATAAAGTCTGTCATTGATTCAACTGGCGTGGTTTCGATTCCCCGCTTATATGTGACAAGGAGTAGGGTCGCCTGTCCAACTTTGTGGGTTTCTCTGGGTTCTCCAGTTTTCTCTCACTGCTGAAGACCCCTATGCGCAAGAGAATTATTGAAATAAAATTGAATCATACGTTAGTCCTGAAATGACCTATTTTGTGTCGAGTGGACGTTAAACCTCCCACTGCTGAAGACCCCTACGCGCAAGAGAATTATTGAAATAAATTTGAACCATACTTTGGGTTGGATGGCCGAATGGTTAGTATGTGCACGCTGCGCTGTATCATGCGGTCTGTCATTGAGTCAACTGGCGTGGTTTCGATTCACCGGTTATATGTGACAAGGGTCGAGTAGGGTCGCCTGCCCAACCTGGTGGATTTTCTCAGGTTTCCTCCCACTGCTGAAGACCCTACACGCAAGAGAATTATTGAAAAAGATTTGAACCATACTTTGTCCCGAAATGACCTAGTTTGTGTCGAGTGGATGTTAAACCTCTCTCTCTCTCTCTCTCTCTCTCTCTCTCTCTTTAATTACAGGTGGTTAGGTAATCTGATATGATTGAAACCAGTCTGTATTTTTGGACAGTGTTTATATCATATGTTATCTAAGTATGACCGACTTATTCCATCTTTGCAATGTCTAAACACTTCAAAATATCAGATTCTTTCCGATACCGGTTCGTTTCACTCAATCGATTTTTTCAGGCGACCGCCCGAATCTGGCCTCCATGCTTACTTCCGGTACAGTTTTGTCGGCCTGGGGAAAAAATGGAAAATAAACAAAAGACTCTGCTCGAGTGTGATTTCACACCACTATTACTTGAAGGAAATTAGACAACACTTCATGCAAAGAGAACATGGACGATTATGATGGTATTCCAGAGGTCAATGAAAGCTTAGAAGGTGCAAAATATTATGTAAACCATGAAGAAACCTCTCCTAACTTTACGCAGAAAAGAGGTCGTTCAAGCATAACAAATCCAAATTTTGATTTCGAGGGATATAACAAGCAGACGACGTCCCCGAGAAGACCAACCAACGAAAATGATTCACAGGGTCAGCGTGAAAGGCAAAGCCTGTGTCATGATGCCGAATGTCCACTGAATGAAGGGAACTCACCAAAATGTAAATTATATGTGAAGTCAAGGTTGAAAGATAAAGAAAAACAATATGAAGATGAACTTATTTTTATAGTTGATACAAGTTATTTAAAAAAGTGTGATGGGATTGTTAAAATTATTCAAATAGTAAGTAACAGTATAATAATTGTAAAATAATAGTATGCACATTACCATGGCAGCGCCAGAAGTTTCATGTATATTTAACCCAAATTGGCATTTTTAATTTAAAAAGGTAACGTTTTTGTTTTAAAAAATCCCCTCAAAATGCAATTCACCGGCAAACGGTTTCGTGAAATACACAAATTATTTCTCTTGGTAATAACTTCAATACTTACTTCAAAATTTCATTTTGAAAGGCATTTTTAATGGAAAAACGATAACTGTAGGCCTACGATTTTCAATTAAAAATGACTATTTAGCATAAGAAAAATGGTGTATTATCAAATTTTGATTTAAGTATTACGATATGATTTAAAATTTTGAAATAATGGTGGTTTTGGTTACAACTTTTAAACTTGCTATGAAATATCATTTTGACACAGAAACGTTACATGTTATAAATGACAATTATTAGGCATAAAGACCAGTAGGCCTACTGGTATATTTTATCAAATATTCTATACATATAGGCCTATAATGAATTTATGGATTATTATATGTTGAAAGGGGCATTATGGAAGATTAGATAAAGAGCTGTCAGTTCTCGTTATAATAGTTAGAAAATAGATAATGAAAACAGAATATGCTGAAAATTTCAGTCAAATTTCTTCACTCTGAACCGAGATATTAGCGATTCAATTTTAGGTACGCCTCAAACATCATAACTGCCGTATAATAATAAACAAGTTCTCGTTTATCCATTTTTACGTTAAATCATCCATCATAAAAGGTATTCATATCCACTACATATTGCAGGGTAACGATGGCATCAAGATTTGATTATGGTCTTGACAAGTTAATTAATGTCTAATTAATAATTTAGATAACAATTCAGGACTAAAGAAAGACCTGCGATAGGCAGATTTACCTCTTGCATAATGCATGTTGAAATAATGGTGCATTTGGGTATTAAAATCATGCTACCTGTGTGAAGTAATGATGGGTATCATACATGATACACAAGTGAAAAAACTCAGCCTATTTTTCACAGTTTTTCTTTGTTCATCAAAGGGAATAATTTATCAACATTTGCCACAAATTTATAAAAATCCAACACTATTTTCTAATGGGAATTTTGTTGTTTTAATTTGTTTATGTATATTTGGTTTGGGTATAATTAAACCTACATGTACATTATGAACTAAATCTTCCTATCGCAGGTTTTACTTTAGACCTGAAATGTTATATAAATTATTAATTAGACATTTATTAACAAAACAAGACCATAATCAACTCTCGATGGCATCGGATACTGAAGATTTTAACTAGATTAGAACGATTCTCCATCTAAAAATTTAATATGAAAATGGGAAGGCAAGGCTAAGTCTCGAATATACCAGTGCCCTGGTTACCAAAATGCACACATCTTGTCATAACTACAAACAGTGATAACCTGGCTCAGAATGAAGTAATTTGAATGAAATTTTCAATATTTTCATTTTACATTATCTATTTTTGAGCTATTATTAAATATTATAGCAAGAATGGTTAGCTCTTTATCTAAATCTTCTCACATAATGTATCTTTTATAACACTGTAACCCAGGTATCATTTAATCTTGTGTATTTAGCACTAATTTCTTTCACATTCATTCAATATCAAATCTTTGTTTAAAAATTCGTAAAAATTGTTTAAATTCACCAAAAATCATCTAAATTGTATTTGTGGCCAGCTCAAAGCTGACCATTCAATTTTGATGATGAGTGTCCAATTTACAAGTGTTTAATTTCTCGATCACTGTTAAAAAATAAACAACCCAATTGATTATTGACGTATAATGACTAATTTTTGAACAGTGGTCAGGAAGTTAAATACTTGTAAATTGAACACTAATTATCAAAATTAATCAGTCGGCTTTAAACTTGACACAAGTACAAATTACATGTAGATGATTTGGGGTGATTTTAAATGATTTTTACGAATTTTTAAACAAAGATTTGATATTAAACAAATGTGAAAGAAATTAGTAGCCTACTAAATACACAAGATTAAATGATACCCGGGTTACAGTGTAAGATTCAAGCAAAAAAAATAAAAAGATCTATAATTTTATTTTCAGATTCTGTCCTTAGTTATGTTGATTTCATTAGCGACAGCTGGACAGAAAGATGGTGGTATCCTTCATCTGCCTTTAAACTGGCATTTTCGCATTATGTTGTTTGTTTTGATTTTAACCATATTGTCCAGTATTACATCACTTCTTGCCCACTTGACTAACATTGTTAGTCTGCTTCCTATAGATTGGATAGTATTTGTAAGTAAAACTTTTATTTTGTAGACCTGTATAATTATCCAGTTTTGTTTTGTTAGCATCTGAGAAGGGGGTGGGGGGTGCTGAATCGAGGGCTTTCACCTGGTCTTCTAGTTTACCCCCACAACCAAAACCAAGAGACACTTAGGCGCTAGTTCAGCTCTGAACGTAGGTCTTATTACACTCGCCCTGTACATTCAGGTACCATCCTACTGAATCATTGTCGAAAATAATATCGCTTCCCAGTCAATTTTACTGGGCAACTTTTCACTGCTAAACGGTCGCGTGTCAGTCCCTGTGAATGCCTGAACAATGTAAATGAACATCTTAGTGAGAAAATAACACCTTGCTTACCTCGATAGAACCAGTATGAGCCACACAACACGCTGGTAAAAAAATACTTCCCCGTCTTCAATATGACTTGATCGACGTCATTGAAATCTAAATATAGGGTAACACACAAATTTACGAACTCGGCCATATAAGATGAAACTAAATATAGGTAAGTCTGGGGGGAAAAAATTGGGATTTTTGAAAAAATTTG